GGCACGGCATTACCCTTCGTGGTTTACACTCTCAAATGACACGGCACCACACTTTGTGATTTATACTCTCCCTCACATGATAATATAATTCAAATGGCACGGCATCACCCTTCGTGCTTTACACTCTCAAATGGTACGTGATCACCTTTCGCGCTTTACACTCTTCCTTACCAAGCACATGTATATCATTAACAAGCAAGGTAGGAAGCATAAATAACATCAAGGAGAGTGTTTAAACGATAACACAATACAATAATTCATATCACAATTTGCCCACTCACCACAACCAAATTCCAAAGATGTAGTAAAATCAATAAATTTCTCAACAAATAGCCCAAGGCTCCACAAAACGTATATAAAACCTCAAAAATAACAACATAGATGGAAAAGTAACTCAGCATAGGACACCAGCTTCTTTATTCCAAATTTTTAATAAATATAAATTAATGTCTCATTTTAAACTTATATAATAATTATTTCCAGATAAGGATTTCAAGAAAAATATCAAATCAACAAATACATGGAATTCACATAAAATCCAAGTGACAATAACACTAAATTATCATATAAAATATAAACTCGACAAATAAGTAATGAGGCATGACAATTCAAGGATTTACCAATAATCAACAATTATCCAATTAAATACATAAAAATGCCTAAAACTTTAAACCAATAAAATTTACACATATAAGCCGTACATACTCGTCAGCTCACGTACATAGCTTCCAATCACATAATTTCCACATAAGACTCAATGCCTAAGGGGTAATTCCCTCACTCAAGGTTAGAAAAGATACTAACCTTTTTTGAAGTTATGTCAATATTCCAAAATAGCCTTCTTGCTTAAATTGACCTCCGGACAGCTCAAGTATATCCAAATTAATACGATTCAGTCAATATAGATTATAGGAATTAATTCCATATGAAAATACAAATTTTCCAACAAAATCTGAAATTGCACTCAAAAATCGCTCGCGTGGCCCACGTCTCGGAACCCGATAAAAGTTACAAAATATGAACTCCCATTCAACCACGAGTCCAACCATATAAAATTTACCAAATTCCGACTTCAACTAGACCTCCAAATCTCAAATTCTTATTTTGAAATCCCTAGGCCCAAATTCTCAAATTTCACCTCAAAAACATGTAATCTAGTCGAAATACTTAATGATAATCCAATATTATTGACTAACAATGATTAGAAGTGACTTACCTCAAGATTTTCCGTGAATTCTCGCTCAAACATCGCCTCAACCCGTGTTTGAAATGTCAAAATATGAGAAAAACTTTTGGACCCTTCGTTTATATTCTCCCCAGACATTTTTCGCATATGCGATGCACTTAGCCGCATCTGCGGTCTCGCAGATACCAGGGCCTTCACGCGTCAACGGTATGAGACGCTTCTGCAGACAACAATCCGCTTCTGTGAAGAAATTGTCCGCTTCTGCGATGAGGCTTGGCCTTTCCCTTTTCCGCTTCTGCGGTAAGGAGTGCGCATCTTCGGCCACTGCCCTTCCTAGTCCATACCGTATCTGCGACCATTTTGTCTCTTTTGCAGTCGCGCGCCTGCGACCATTTCCATCACAGGTGCGATTACACCAGAACTGGAAAAATTCCAGAATTGCTCAAGTCCAAATTTGATCCGTTTAACAATTCGAAACTCATCTGAGGCCCTCGGGGCCTTAATCAAATCTAGAAACAAGTCCTAAAATATGATACGAACTTAGTCGAGGCCTCAAATCACATCAACCATACCGAAACTACGAATCGCACCTCGAATCAAACTTATGAGTTTATGAAATTTCAAAATTCTATAACTTGTGCCGAAACATATCAAATCAATCCGGAATGACCCTAAATTTTGCACACGAGTCCTAAATGACATAATGGAGTTGTATAAATTTTTGGAATCGAATTTCGACCCCGATATCAATAAAGTCAAATCCCGGTCAAATTTTCTAAAAATCTTCCATTTTCCAACATTCACCAAAATGCGTCAAATTATCCTATGGACTTTTAAATCCAAATTCGGACATACGCCTAAGTCCGCAATCACCATACGAAGTTATTGACATCATCAAAATCCTATTCCGGAGTCGCTTGCTCAAAAGTCAAACTCCGGTAAACTCTTTTCATTTAAACTTCAAAAATAAGAATTGTTCTCCCAATTTGATCCCAAATCGTTTGAAAACCAAACTCAACCACATACGCAAGTCATAATACGTATTACGAGGTTGCTAGAAATCTTAAGCCGCTGAACGGGATGCTAATACTGAAAATGATAAGTCGGGTCATTACATGTACACACATTTGATTGAGGTCCGGGGTGACTCGAACGCGTTTCAACGCATTATGGTGTTTACAAGGTTATTTTTGAATATTTTTTAATTTATTTTAAATTTACTCTATTCTTATTTTCTCTCAAATTTAATTTTTATTTTAACTTTCTAAATTCTTTTTTTTCAAATATTATTCCTTTTACATTATTTATCTTTTATTTTCTTATTTCTCATTTCTCAACCTTCACTTCACGTGTTTCTGGATAATTTCTCATATTTGATCACACACTTAAGTTTTGCTGATGATTTGCTACTATTTGTTATAGGGGATCTGAAATCAATACATGCAATTCAACAGAAGTTCTACCAGTTCACTCAAGCTTCTGGGCTACAAGCAAAACTCAACAAGAGTGAGGCCTACTTTAGAGGGGTTGCCTGAGATCATAAACAAATGTTCTTTAGTGGCAACCTCTCATTGAAAAAATAACTGCCAAAATTACTTCTTGGACTGCTAAGATTTTGTCTTATGCTGGGAGGACTCAATTAGTTCAGAGTGTTTTGTTTGGTATACAAGCTTTCTGGGCACAATTGTGTGTAATACCAACAAAAGTGATCAAACTTATTGAGGGATTGTGCAGGTCCTACATATAGTCGGGGGTCAATAAAATTACAAAGAAGGCATTGGTTGCGTGGGACAAAGTTAGCTTACCCAAAGCTGGGGGTGGCCTTAACCTCACCAACTTGAAGATTTGGAACAAAGCAGCAATAACAAAGACTTGCTAGGACTTAGCACACAAACAGGACAAATTATGGATTCACACATATGACATCAAAGGGAAACATATCACTAACATGCCAATACCATAACAAGCTTGCTAGATGGTGAGGAAAGTGATAGAGGCTAAAGAGATACTGGAAAAAGACACTTTGAACAATCACATAAAAGAAGCTTGATCAGACAAATCTACCTATATTTTCTTGCTGACTATAGTCGAGTGGAATGGAAGAGCTTAATGTTCAACAATGCAGCAAGACCAAGAGCAAGATTCACAATGTGGCTAATGCTGTAGGGAAGATTGCTGACTTGTGATAGACTAAGCAAATGGGGGAATACTGTAGATCCTCAATGTGTGCTTTGCAGAATGCAAGAGGAAACGAAAGATCATTTGTTTATACAGTGTGAATACACAAAGCATATCTGGAACAAGCTATGTCAATGAATACAGACACAATACTTGGGAGCTCTGGATTGGCAATAATTCACACAATGGGCAATTCAATGTTCTAGAGGAAAATCCCAACGGGCACATATGTTCAAAGTTGTGTATGCAGAAGCAGTTCATCAAATATGGATTGAAAGGAACATACGAATCTTTGAACAAAACAATCGAGTGTGGGAGAAGATTGCGAAGGAAGTAGCCTATGTTTGTAGTGTTCGAGTAACTCCTAGGAACAAGTCTTTTTTGCATAGTTTGTGTTTCTAGGGAGTAGAGTATGGCCTTTGTCCTGAGATTTGATAGCAAGCTGTGTTAGCTTTGCTATGATTTTGTAATTGATTCTTGGTGATTAATAAAATAAGTTAGTTACCAAAAAAAAATATGATATATTACTTTTTAATATTTAACTAGTATTCTCATTTTTCAACTGTTATTTTTTTGATTCCATGTACTTGCTCATATTTTTTATTTTTCTTTATTTCCTTCATTTAACATAATTGTGCTATTATTCTAGTTTTAAAACTACACACCTACTAATATTAAAAATAATGAGTCATTAATAAATTTGATATATAATGAGTGATGTCATTAAAGTAGAATCTCATTCTTGAATAAGGTTATAGACTTATATTTTCCTTTTCTTTTGAATTATATTTACTTATTATGTTGAAACTTATTTTATGTTATGTTGTAATTAACATAAGAGTATTATGTTTTTTTTAAAATTTTAAATTTATATTTTAATTTCGGTTCCATTTTATTTGCTTTAGTAGTATTGATTATTAATTCAAATTGTATGCCATCCATTTTTCAGTTAGAGTTGATATATAGATTATTTTTTCGTAAAATATATGAGTAATGTTATGGAATTATATTTATAAATCTTAATCTTTTTATCAAACATGCAGTCCATGATGTTCTTAGAAAATATGTACTTTTAGTTTTTATAATTAATTAAAGTAAAACATTATTAACTTAAAAAATATATGTCAATTATTTTTACAATATTAGTTACAAATATATGATTAGTAAGTAATATGAAACAATATGTATCTTAAGTGTCAAATTTAATATCATTTATAAAGGTATATATTTGTTAAATATTTAACTTTTAATTTTTGATAATTATCTTTAAATTAAATTTTTTTATTTAACAATTACACTTGTGCAACCAAACAGTACACTTGTAATTACACTGTAATTACATTATGACAAACAAACATGTCGTTGTAATTATAATAAAGTATAATTACTAGATTGTGTAATTACTACCCTACTAATTATACCAATTTCAATTACCTGGTGGCTTTCCAAACAGACCCTTAATGTTGAAGTATGTGTATCATGTGCGGTAATGGAGATACGATCGCACTAAGGAAATTCAAAATATAAGGAAGTAAACACACAAATGGTTCTTGGGTTATGTAAAGGGGATTCAACATCTACTATATACTATAATAAATAATTTTTCTTAATATATATAATGTAATTTCTAGGCGAATGAGAATTCGGATGGACCTCTTTGTGCCCCTTAGCTCCGCCCTTAGATCGCGTGTTTTTTTACATCCGTCTCATTTCAACATCATGATCCATTATAGCTTTGTTTTTGTACTCTATATCCTACTATAAAGAATTTATCAAGTATCCTGCAAATTGACTTCGGTACCAAAGAGAACAATAGAAGCCATAACGATGTTAAGACTATTGCATAAACCCTACCAAAATAGATGGTCGCAAATAAGGCGAAAATAATTAAATAAACACTTGAGCTAGATTTCTTGATATCATCACTTGCTGCTGCTGAAGCACTTATGGTATTTCTGTGGTTGTATGAATATGGCCTTGATGACTGCTTTCCCTTAGATAGATTGCCAATTGAAGTAATTTCCCTTTGCTGGTTATGATTACCCTTCAAAACTAGTGTTTCTTGATTCCCTGAGTGATCACCATGGAACTTGTCCCTTCTATTTCGCCTGTAATTACTTCTTGACTCAAACTGCAAAATTGAAGGTTACACTCGTCATGACTCTAGCTATTACTTGGCGACTGTTGAAGACGTAATTCAGTAAATAAAAGAGCCATATATCTAACAATAACAAAGCAGCTAAAGATCACCAGTTTGAGTCTTAATATCACCAACAATCATAAATAATTTTCATGTGCTTCACCATGAAGAAAATATTAGACAGGCAAGAGACATATTAAAGACATAATTAAGTAAATATAAGTGTATTACTAATTGAATGATTACACACTTCGATGGTGATAATATTTACAAAATTGATACACTCACATATATATCCTAGAGTTTGGATAGTCTAACATAAAAAATGGAAAAAGACAATTGGAAAGACTTTTAGATTCTCAAGAAAGACTACTAACCAGTGGATCATTTTTGCCACATCTTTTTGTAATAATTGGAGAAGACCGATCAATAGTGTGGTTGTGAATAACAGAGTCCTCAACAATGGGACGAAAACAAAGGAAGAACTTGCTCTTCATTGTCTTCTTTAAGCAAAACACAAAGTATACTATTGGCCACACCAAAATATGAGTGTGTAATATATATAGAGAAGAAAAGATGAAAAGAGAAGAAAATGCTCTGCTTTGTTTGGTGGGGTTTCGACAGTCTTGGCCGGCTGGTCCCTTTCTTCTCTATTTTAGTAACAATATTGGTGGATTCGGAGAGTACTTTATGAACGAGTTTGGTGTTGGCCTAATAGTTGCGAATTGCGATTTTTAAGTACATATTTCTTAAATTGTCTTTTGTTTGATAAGATATGGGCAGTTAAAAAATCTTTACACAGTTGAGTTTTTTAGTTTTTGACGTGGAATTTATATAGTGCTAAGCGCTGATAAAAACTAATTTGTAACATTAATTTACTATATTATAGTGAGTAAAGTTATTTTAATATGAAAAAGTAATTTTAGACCTTCCATCGATAAAGTTCAGTATTATGCATGAAATCAACTTTAGCTTCTTAAGTTCCAAACAAAGAATTAACCTTACATATGACTATGGATTGTCAATATTAATTAAAATATAAAAGCAAATTGAGCATGTGAAAAAGGGACAGAACAATGTCCCAACATTAAAGTCTTGAGGCTCTCTGCCTAACTAAATAAAAAGATGAAATGACCTTAATTAAGATGAACTTTAATTAACTCTGTAAACAACACGCTTTTACTTGTTCGAGTCTTATTATATTTCTATCCTGTAGTGTTTCTTTTGGACAATGTAGGTGATGAGACTTTAAAATGTTGGAGAAGATACAAACCTAGTGGCATTATTTAATTATAATATGTGCCTTTTGTCTTAGCCTTTTAGTTGATTTTCTGCTAACAAAGTACCACGATGATTTAGCAACTTCTTGTAGTGGTTTACGTGACCAAGCAGCAAGACTTAGACGTGTTCTAGCACAGGATTAAGAACTTACTTCTCCTGAGTTTACACCAAATTATACCAGCTTATCATGGTTGAGTGATTTAATTATGTATAAGAATATACATTAATTATCTTTTTTATTTATTTATAAAAGCCACCATGGTGGTGTGAGGGTTAAGGCATGACCCTCAACCTGTATATTACCAAAATCCAAAAAGTAAACACGAGCAGGGGGCATGATGCCTAACCTCTCCCAAGTACATATGTTAGTTGGATATCACCAACTTTAAATTCATGTGAGGCTTGCAAAAGTTACATTGTGCCCAATCAGTAGCTTGATTAGTTAGAGATATACAGAGAAGGGAATCTGTCTGGTTAAGGTTTGTTAGGATACATATAACAAAAAAGATAATTACATAATTATTCACGGGTAATATCATGGCTCCTCTTGATTTGTATGATTCTAAAGCATGGAAGTTGGACCTTTTCCATTATGAAAACACCTCTAGCCGAAGGGGTAACTCCCTGTGATGACCCAAAAGGTCATCTTATATTTTAGAACTCAAATATGCGCTCTTAAACCTTAAAATTTTCATTTTTATCCTTCTCGATTTGCGTGCGCAGTCCGGACAAGTTTTCGGAAAACTTTTATGTTGAAAACTGATGAAAATAAGAATTTATATCTTAAAAGTTGAATTTAGTTGACTTCGGTCAATATTTTTTGTAAACGGGTCCGGATCAGTATTTTGACGGTTTCGATGGGTCCGTATCGAATTATGGGACCTGTGCGTATGTCCGAAATCGAATCCGGAGGTCCCTAGCTCGAGTTATGAATTTTTGAGGAAACTTAAAAGTCTGAAAATTTATTTATTTCTAAGAATTGATTGATATTTGACATTGTGAGTACCGGGTTCGCATTTTAGTTGCGGAGCCCGGTACAGGTTCATTATAATATTTAAGACTTGTCTGTGAAATTTGGTGAGAAACGGAGTCGATTTGACGTGATTCGGACTTCCAGTTAAGAAGATAGAAATTTTAAAGTGTTCTTGAGAATTTCATTTGATTTGGTGCTAAATTCGTAGTTCTAGGTGTTATTTTGGCGATTTGATCGCGCGAGCAAGTTTATATGATATTTTTAGACTTGTGTGCATGTTTGGTTTGGAGCTCCGAGGGCTCGGGTGAGTTTCGGGTAGGCCACGAGATGTTTTGGACTTTGAAAATCTGGTATTTTGCTGCAGCATGTGTTTTTGCATATCTTTCTTCGCGTTCGCGAAGGTACTCTCGCGAACGCGAGGAGTAAACTGGGCAGCTGGAGTTTTCTTCTTCGCGAACGCGAAGGCTTAGTCACGAACGCGAAGCGATGGGGGCGTTACCCTTCGCAAACGCGACCAGCTCCTCGCGAACGCATAGTGTTAGGCACACCTAGGGAAGAGTCGATCGTTCCTTCATCACAAACGCGAGCAATGTCTCGCGAACGCGAAGGCCAGAGGGTAACAATCGCGAACGCGAGCCAGGTCTCGCGAACACGAAGGCTTGGCAGCCAATGCTCTTCATGAACGCGATAGTGGCCTCGCGAACGCGATGAACACTGTCGCCTAGCACTTAACAGAATCCAAACACGGGATTTAGCCCAAAAATTTATTTTTCTCAAAAACCAAACAGTGAGAGGCGATTTTTCAAGAGTCATTTCTTCACCAAAATGTTGGTAAGTGATTCTAAATCATTTTCTTTCAATTTTCCATTACATTTCATGAATTATCAACCTAAAATCTAGAATTTTCATGGTAGAATTAAGGGTTTGGGTAGAAACTAGGGATTTCGAAAATTTGGGGATTTAGACCTCAATTTGAGGTCGGATTCCAAAACCAATTATATATTCGGGCTCGGGGGTGAATGGATAAATGAATTTTGGTCAGAACCTCGGGTTTTGACCAAGCAGGCCCGGGGTCAATTTTTCGACTTTTTGGAGGAAAATTTGGGAAATTTAATTTATGCAATATAGTTGATTCCTTTAGCTATATTTGATATTATTGAGTCATTTTTGATTAGATACGAGTGGTTTGGATGTGAATTCTAAAGGAAAAATTGTGATTGAGGATTATGTGGCCTTCAGAGCGAGGTAAGTGTTGTGTCTAACCCTGACTTGAGGGAATTAGAAACCTTAGACTATTTGCTATGTGAAATTCATGTGAGCGGCATATATGTGAGGTGACGAATACTTATGCGCCGCCAATTTACCTGCTTTCCATGTTTCTTTCGTTTTGATTATACTGTCTCTTTCCTATGCCTAATTGCTACGTGTTTATACTAGTGTTGTTAAATTGATCGTTCTTATCATGTTTACGAATTTTTTGGTGATAATTGAGAATTTATTTCAAAGTTGAGATTGATATTGTGGAACCAAATGTTGAAGTAAGGCTTATACTTGTTATTCTATCTCCCTGTTGTTATTTATACATTGCATTATGGTAAGGGAGAGTGTTAATGCACGAAGGATGATGCCGTACCATATTGTGAGTGTTAATGCACGAAGGGTGATGCCGTGCCATATTATGAGTGTTAATGCACTAAGGGTGATGCTATGCCATATTGTGAGTGTTAATGCACGAAGGGTGATGCCGTGCCATATTATGAGTGTTAATGCACTAAGGGTGATGCTATGCCATATTGTGAGTGTTAATGCACGAAGGGTGATGCCGTGCCATATTATGAGTGTTAATGCACTAAGGGTGATGCTATGCCATATTGTGAGTGTTAATGCACGAAGGGTGATGTCGTGCCATATTATGAGAGTTAATGTACGAAGGGTGATGCCGTGCCGTTTTTTGTGATTTTATGGTGAAATTGAGAGTAAAAGCACGAAGGGTGATGCCGTGCATTTTTCCTTTACTGTATTCGCGTTCCTATTGATTCATTGGTTATTTCAGTTATCATTCTACTGTAGTTTTTTATCTCGTATTTCCCCCAGCATGTTTCCCCTTCCCGATATCTCATGTCTAATTCTTTATTATTGTTATTTGTATATGTATTGTTAAACTGTACATGTTGATTTGTAGGTGCCTTGCCTTAGTCTCGTCACTACTTCGTCGATGTTAGGCTAGACACTTACCAGTACATGGGGTCGATTACTGCACTCTACACTTTCTGTGCAGATTTTGGTTTTGGTTCGAGTTGATCGAGATTTTTGCTATTGGACCGCTATCCGGAGACTCAAGGTTGATCTGTCGGCGTTCAGAGACCTTGAAGTCCTCATCTATCTTTTCTGTTCTACTGTTTCTTTCATTCATACAGTTGTATTTCTTTCAGACTATTACTTGGAGTAAATTTTAGAATGCTCGTGAATTATGACTCCAGATTCGGGTGGTAGTAATTAATACAATTTTTATATTATTCCGCACTTATCATATTTCATCTTAGTTAATTATTGTTATTTACTGAATTGAAATAAGGAATTGGTTTAATGATTTTCTAACGTTGGCTTGCCTAGCAAGTGAAATGTTAAACGCCATCACGGTCCCGTCGGTGGGGATTCTGGGTCGTGACAAGTTGGTATCAGAGTACTAGGTTGCCTAGGTCTCACGATTCACGAGTAAGCTTAGTAGAGTCTGGAGGATCTGTACGGAGACGTCTGCACTTATCTTTCAGAGGCTATGAAGTTTAGGAACAAATTTTACTTATATTCTCCTCTGTCGTGCGATGTTGTTTTCTCAATACTGATTGAACTCTTCTACTCTTATTCTCTCGCAGATGGCGAGAACACGTACCGTTTCCTTAGTTGAGCAGCAGCCAGAGCCTCCA